TTTTTGATGCATAACTATATTCGATAATTTATTCGCTCCGGACTTACAACAGTTTCTTAAAACTGTTTCCTAGTTAAAATTACTTCAGTAAAAATAACCAATTTGATTATGGCAAATTGGTATAATCAGTAGTTAAAAAAAATTTTTTTTATTACTTTAAAGAGTGTAATTATATGCTGCATGGACCTTTAGTTCAAACTGTACCAGTGAATTTTTTATACTTACACTCATTATTATCACAAACAAGTTACACTAAGTTACGTCCTTACTCTAATAAGTGTTAAGAGTAGAAGAATCAAACTCGCATATATATTTAAGCATATTATAATTAATAGATATTAATTAATTATAAACTAACTTTAATAATCTCGTAGGACCAACTATTAACCCTAAAAAAAACATTATATTCAGTTTATAAAGATAGTATAGATTGAAACAGAGTGTTGTTGGCACCCCGTTTCTTTCTTGTACAAATATAAAAAAAAATACACGAAACATAAAAATTTGAACATCAGATTATTTCCTTAGATTCCCATAATGCCATGTGTGATGTTTAATGCGCTGAAGAAACATTGCTTTCGAATTCTTCAAGTACCAAAGAAGCATTTCTTTCTTTATCCTTACGGCTTGTAGCATAAGCTTCAATAACCAAGGCAAAATGAATCTATAGAGCAAAAACAAAATAAATACAGTATTGAAAAGTTAAACAAATATAAATACATAAAACATACCACAAAAATAATATATAAGGGACAAACAATAATCAATAAGCTTTCAACTATCTTAAATTCATTCTCACAATCGCCCACTGGATCTTTGCTAAGAAGTCCATTATGTTTATTTCTGTTAATACAATCGTTCACATAAGAACTTTTATTTACAATGAATAAAATGATTGCTACTATAGTAACTAAAATTTCAGTAGCCGTGAAAATATAATAAAGTTTAGAATAAATTCTTAAAAGATAAGCTGTTCTCTTATATAATAAAAATAAAAATATGTATTAAGCTTTATAGCAATCAAAGTTAAAATAATAATGAGCAAGGCTTAATTTTATTATATATTATGGTACATACCGCACAACAACAAACGAAGAATCCAAAAATAACGATTGGGAGGAGTAAAGTATCTATAACTAAAATTAAAATTGATCCAGCATCATCTATAGAAATAAATTAACGATGTAATTTTTAGTAAAAGAAAATATAAAAACAAAGCAAATAAAATACATACCATTGCCTTTTACGATTGATAATATTTCAGTGAAAATACCACATATTAACTCAACCTTAGTATTTAACGTTATATAAAAAATTAAATTAACACATTGTATGTACTGCGTATGAATAATTTCTATCATATACTTTATAAACTTGCCAGAGATAAAGATGTTACAATAATGGCACCTCCTCTCAAGGGAATGCAACAACAACATTTAATAGGCTTATTAATAGTTTTATTAATTAAGTTTATCATCTTAATTGCTAAAAAAAATAAATAAAATTGTATCCTTATAACGATACAAAGTTCATAGCTAATTAAAAATTTTTGTAACACTATTAATAATTTCCGCTTTATACGTACGTAGTATTTCAATAATAAGGAGCATTTAACATTTTAGGAATTTATTGTTAATTAGTCAAGTTTGTGTGCCTATAATTTATTTATGTTGTATCACATGATGAACGTACTATTAGATAAAAATTAATATATTTCTATATATGGTAAGCAATAACCTCATGCAATAAAGTCAAGTCGTTAATACAGTGAAGTGCACCCTCTATAAGTGCGCACCCTCTCTAAATACACACTTAGATTCTGGCCCAAATATATACATAGCCTCCATAAATGCACTTATTTTTGTTGTTCTCTAAGTACACGTTGTTAAAGTATGGTCCCAGGTGCGTGCACTTAGAGAGTTCACTGTATTCTTATTTAAAAATCCGCCAGTTCGTAAGGGCTGTGACATATATTACATAATATCCATTTACTATGATTGGCTCCCGCACATAAAATCCAATATGATTGGCCAATTTAAAAAAAATCCAATTTTCTTTGTGTACCGTAAGATATTGATATAATGCATGTCAACATTACGTAATAAATGCCAGCACCCTAATTGAAATGTACTATTTTCAATCTCTAACCGATTAAAAAAAAAAAATATCAGTCTTTGCGAAATTATAACAAAACACGAATAAATACAGTATGTTAACTAGAGATTCAAGTTAATGGTCAGGATAAGTGACAAATGCTAAAGAAAATTTTATTTATATACAAAAAATTGCGATACCAATACTTTTAATCTAGTACTTCGAAATTAATTTAGACTCATTTTTTATTCTTTTTTCTTTGAATATGTCGATTCATTCATGTATATTCAGCCACAAATAACGAATAGGTTTGTGCGGCTTTTAAACTTATACTAGTGATTCAGTATTGATGATAAAAATAAAATAAAATTCCAACTTCGATTTTTTAATAAATAATTTTGTTATGAAAATTTGATATACTGTAATATTGCTTAGAGCATCGTTTTATGCATTAAATTATAGTTGTTATGCGTAACCTTGAGTTTCGCATTGACAAAACACGAAACCTTGTTTCGTCTTTCGTCAATTAACAAATGACGAAACTGACGAAACTAATAAAAGATAAAGAAAGTCCAAAATCGAATTTACAAAAAGAAAAAGATCATCCATCATTATGTAAAATAATTCAAGGGTAGCTATACTATTTTCGATAATTTTGGCTTAAATGAATGCTAAATTCGAAATATTAATATAAATCAAAATCATCAAAAGAGGCACATCTGTTCGAGATATCACATTATTTGATAACGCATTCATTGTGAAATCGGAAATGAATACATATCAATACAATAAATTGTAGCATTCGTTTAGGCCAAAAAATTCATTGAAAAAAATTTAGCTATTAGCTGTTCTCAAATTGCAGAAAATTTTCGGATAACATGATTTACTGGTTATAGTTGCGCAGCTACCTTATTATGTAAACTAAATATTGATGCTACTATAATATTTAATGTAAATTTTTGAGAGTCAAACTCGTTATGATAATATCTTAAATTCAGCTTTCATTTCATAACTTACTAATATTTCTTACCAGAAAATTACTCAACGAATCTTAGAGTTATTATTTTAAATTTTAATGCCATGTCTTAAAAATTATGTAATGAATAACCTTTTGAGCCTGATAAATTCACCATACCGATGAATCTTTATTGCACGGGTTTCATGTAACAACTTGTACTTTTCTCACTTGACAATTAACGCACGGGATTGTACGCCAGTCACCGTGTAATAACGTAGTTATTGTATAGGTATGTATGTGCATTGTTGACAATTTTTTTGCGGCTAAACAATCTTTTTGACCGGCCAATTGGCCCAAAGTTTCTAACATATAATATGCCATTTTCGATCACTAGCCACGGCCGATGGCCGGCCAAGCGGTTAAGTGACAACACCGGGTATGTGAATAACCGTGGCCGAAGGCCACGGTTATTCACTATATACCCATACAATAATTATAACTTACTATATATTGATATATTTATTTCAATATTATCGTTAATCAGGTTTTTCACCGATTTATACTAGATGATTATAAAAATAATTATAGAACTAAATTTACATTTATTGGCACATGTACCTAACGAAAGTGTATATATATATATAGGATATTGATATAGCACACCACTGGTGTTCAGCACCATATTTTAATTTAGCCAATTAAATCATTGATTATTCAATTTTGTAGATAATAACTAGGTGTAAACCCGTGCAATAATGCACGGGAATAAACTTATAAAAATCTATAATCAATAATTTATAATCTATATCTATATCTTTTATAATTATATACTAAAAAATTTATATGTAATGATAACGTTTTGATTACCTATATATAGTGTGTAATAATAATATTTAGATTATTCATATATTTTGTATAATGATAATATTTAGAATAAC